GGGTTCCGTTGGATATATTATACTACTTCCGATCCTTACTATAAGATCTAGTTAACTAATTTAAGGAGATTAAGAAAGTTAGTTAAGTTAGTTATTTGTGATAAATAGATGTTGTTTTTCTTAAAATATCCTTACCAATTATATATGTTTGAGTTACCTATTGATGCCAACTCCTTAACATATGCAACTAATATAGGAATTATTTGAGGGAAAAATAGATAAATATTGGAGATAAAGTAGATTCTGATCTTATATTTAGAATCAAATTAAAAGTCAAACTAACTCTTTTATTAAGGACCAGATGTAATAACCTATGAACCAATTAAATCAATTTAAATATTATAATAATTAAGTGGAATTATATTAATTACGGGATCTGTTTTATACTACCTCATGTCCTAATTATAAGAGCCAGTTGACTAATTTGAGGAGATTAAGGAAGTAAATTGCGTTAGTTATTTGTCATAAATAGGTGTTGTCTTTTCTAAAATATCCTTGCTAATCAAGTATATTGACTAGAACTCTTATTATTAAAAGGGCTACTTTGAAAAAAAATGTATAAATATAAAAGACAAAGTGGATTGGGGTCTTATATTTATAACCAAAATAAAAGTCATAGTACTTTATAGGTGGTTCAGAGAAGGTCTTTCGAGTTCAAAACTATTTTTAATCAAGTTGTTGTGGATAATAAAATTTTGTGTAGAAAATAATGGACAAATATATACATGCTCAAATTATATCTGGAATGTAAATCAAATATACTTTACAATTAGTTAATTTGTGAGTACCAGTGCATGATTTATGAATATCAATAAATTTTTTGATCGAAAACCCGAATATGAATTAAATCTATCAAACTTATTATACATTTGGTGTTTAAAAAAAAATCATGCTAGCATGATCTAAACCAAATTCAAACCAAAACCGACTCTAAATTAAATCGATCCCGTCTTAAACTAAAATCCGTCTTGAATTCTACGAGACCCATTCACGTGGTTATGAAGTTTTGCCCAACACAATCAAATTAAATACTGTCTCTGATTTTTAATATAAGAGTTAGATAACTAATTTATAAATATTAAAAAATTAATTAAATCAGTTATTTGTAATAAATGAGTGCTATTCCTAAAATAATTTTGTTAATCATATGCATTAGAATGGGAACATCTTAATATGTGTAAATGTATAATTTGGGAAAAATTAAATAAATACGAGGAATAGAATGAATTAAAATCTTATATTTATAACCAAATTAAATCTTCAACTAACTCTTATGATATAAGATAGTCTCCTGATTCTAAATATAAGACTCATTTTCTAGTGTAAATTAAATTACAAAATGAGTTTTAAATTTATAATATAAACACTTCTTTTTAGCAAGAAGCATTCAATAATGTATTGAATTTGAGTTCATACGATGATACGAATATAAAAAAAACGTAGTTTATTAATTTAAATTGAGCCTCATAATACTCGAATAATAATAATAATAATAATAATAATAATAATAATAATAATAATAATACGCGTTCGCTTGCGTATGTGTGTATATGCACCAAGCATGCATTGGGACGTCAGCCAAAAAGTCCAAAATGTGGATGTCGAACTATGATTGGCTCTGCCCAATTTATGAGGTCGCGTGATGAATAAAAGTATAAAACAATTAGCCATAATTGCATGTTAGTGCCATGAGAGTGTGAGACTCTTCAATAAATACGTTCAAAGTTATAATTAAAATGGACACCTACAAAAGGCTTTATTAAGTGGACATTAATTTAATCAATGCTTTAATTTTGTTATTTCTGCGTTGCGGCTGCATGCGTCCGTGCACACAGGATAATGCTCATTTATATATCTGATTCTCCACTGTACTGATATTTTATTTGAGTGCTAATAGATTCTTAATTACGTGTTCCGTTGGATATATAATAGTACATCTGGTTCTTAGTATAAGAGCTAGTTAACTAATTTGAAAAGATTAAAAAAATTAGTCAAATTAGTTATTTGTAGTAAATAAATGTTATCTTTTCTAAAATATCTTTATTAATCATGTATGTTTGAATTACTTATTGATGCTAACTCCTTAACATATGCAACTAATATAGGAATTACTTGAGGGCAAAATAGATAAAGATTAAAGATAAAGTAAATTAAAATTTTATATTTATAACCAAATTAAAAGTCAAATTAGCTTTTATATTAAGTATCATAAATATCAGAGATAGTAATCTGTAAACCAATTAAATCAATTTAACTATTATAATAATTAAGTGGAATTATATTAATTACGGGATTTGTTTTTATACTTTTATAGGTGATTTTTAATCAAATTGTTATGAAAATGACATTTTAATCTTTAGTCGTAATAACGCTGTCGCTATGTCATGCGGGCATCCAGATATTTCTATTTGGAGCATCAATATATTATTAAATATTAATCATGAGTGCCCATAATTAGAAATGTTGAACAGCTTTGCTTTTCAAGTTACAATTTTACTAATCATAAAAAAACCAATTACACGCGCTTATAGCTGAAGCCAATATAAAACTCAAAAAAGGCCCTTGTCATGCAAACCTAACACACAAGAAAAATAAAATCGCTAGAAAAACAAGAATAGTACCAGTGCAAAATAACAGCAAAAAAAAACTATATATCACCTCTGATTCTTAATATAAGAGATATATAACTAATTTGTGAGTATTAAAAAAATTAATTAAATTAATTAATTATAATAAATAGTTGTCATCTTTTTTAAAATATCCTCATTAATCATATGTATTTGAATTATTTATTGATAGAAGCTCATTATCATGTGCAATCATTCTAGGAATTACTTGAGGACAAAATGGATAAATCTTAGAGACAAGATAGATTAAGGTTTTATATTTAATATCAAACTGAATATCCAACTAGCTTTTATATTAAAAATCGAAAGTAGTATGTAACAACAACAGTTACCCGTTAACTAAAAAACATTAACCCTATCAACAACAACTTATCTTAGTGGCCACCCGTCACATTTGGATAAGGTTTGTGCCCGAGCTTACATTGGGTGAGAAATGGCAAAAATGAAGCGTATTATTTAGATGATTTGGATGCAAAAATAATGCCAGTCGCTCACAAAGGCTACAAAGTGAGAGAACCAGCAGAGAGAGAGGTTCTTTTGATGAGTGGGGGAGAAAACACAGAAATTAAATTGTTATCCACGAGATGTGATGATGAATCAGTAGGCTTTAACACGGAGTTAGTGGTGGGACATTGCCAGCAAGAACTCAGTACGATGATTTTATTTTTTTTGACCTTGAGTACGATGACTTGATCTCGTATTTTTTGTCCTCAAGAGGGGACGATTTTAATATATCTGTTTAGAAAGCGATTTTGATGCAATCCCCTTCTCTCTTGTTTGGATGTTTCCTAGAATCTAATAGTCTTATGGATAGCTGGCAAAAAAAAAAATAGTCTTATGGATAAGGTTCAACGTAGGAAGGTGTGGCAAAAGGATTCGTAGTTTATTTTTTGAAAATATATATTCTTCCGATCTTTTAATATATGACTTAATTATTAAATTAATTGTCATTTTTCTAGAATCTAATAGTCTTATGGATAGCTGGAAAAAAAAATAGTCTTATGGATAAGGTTCAACGTAGGAAGGTGTCGCAAAAGGATTTGTCGTTTATTTTTTGAAAATATATACTCTTCTGATTCTTAATATATGACTTAATTACTAAGTTAATTGTCATCTTAAATACTCCTTCGGTCCTTAATATAGGACCGAATTCTTGAGTTGGTTTTGGTTCTAAATATAAGATCCATTTCTCATATTTATCGATTTTCTCTAAATTACTCATATAAATACTCCCTCAATTATAATCAAGTAGAAGAGGGAGATGAGGTATTAAAAAAGATTATTATGGTGTTTTAAGAAAAATGTGTCACTTTTCTTATAATTAACTAACTTACCTAACTTCCTTAATCTAATCAAATTAGTTAAATGAGTCTTATATTAAGGACCAGAGGAGTATAAGATTTATTTTTTATATTTATCAATTTTTTTTAAATTATTTGTATGACTACTTCCTCAACCATAATCAAATAGAAGAGGAAGAGATGATATTAAGAAAGATAATTATGTTGTTTTGAGAAAAATATGTCATATTTCTTATAATTAATCAACTTACGTAATATTTTTAATCTAATCAAATTAGTTAAATAGATCTTATATTAAAGATCAGAAGAGCATATAAATATGCGACGTATCTGAGAGACGGAATAAGACCACATAAAATGTATTTACTGTAAGTGCTGAGAATTCAACGAGAAGGTACAATATTGAAGTATTGGCGGGCAAGAAGGCAACTGGATGATTTGTTTAACTCGTGACTTTGGGAAAGTGATGGAAATCAACTACTACCTCCGATTCTAATTATAAGAGTTAGTTGATTAATTTGAAGAGATTAAGAAAATAAGTTAAGTTAGTTATTTGTAATGAATAGGTATTATTTTTCCTAAAATATTCTTACTAATTAAGTGTATTGGCTAAAATTACCATTATTAGAAGGATTTTTTTTTAAAAAAAAGCATAAATATAATAGACAAAATGGATTGTGGTATTATATTTAAGATCAAAATAAAAATCAAATAAGATCTTATATTTAGAACCCGAGATACTAGTATTTTGGAGTGAACTCATATATAGGTGGGGATTGCAGTATTAATTGTTGAAAACAACTCTCTGTTTTAGTAGTTCTAACTATTCCTCCGATCTTAAACATAAGACCTTTATACACATTAATATAAGGATTTTATATTTAGGATCGAAAGAGTATTAATGATAAAAATGATGTTTTAATTCCTTCTGCGGAGAGAGGCAAGTCACATTCTGCAAAGAATCTAGTCCAACTTAATATTGGATCCAATTTTAAAGATGATACTATATGCATCTGTGTATTTAAAATTGAACTAAAATCTTGCAAATGGAAAAAATAATCATAAAAGAAAATTTTTATGGAGAATATCAACACAAGTCTCATGCACCAAATTATGTGAGTCTCATATATTACAGGAGTACTAGAATGACTCACTCTTCGAAACTCATAAATAAAGAGACTTGATATGCATTTTATATTTAATTACTACTATATAAAAGGATTGAACATACGTTATTTTTATTGTGGGTGAACATACTCTTCATTAAACAATTCATATAATAAGTTCAGGCAGCTTAGGAAGTAGCGTTGAATCTAGGAACAAGTTTGCACTTGAGAGGTTTCTTCAGTTCAAGTGAAAGCTTGAGACATTCTGAAAGATCCACAGGTTCTATTGAAAGCCACACGAACTGATGAAGAAGCTGTGCGAGCCAGAGATGAACCGTGGCTAGGCCTAGTGCTCTTCCTGGGCAAACCCGTCTCCCGGCACCAAATGGTGCGAGCCTTAAGTTCGAGCCCATGATGGACACGTCATCTTTCGTGAACCGTTCGGGTTTAAAGACCCACGGGTCCTCCCAAACACACGGGTCATGTGTTATGGCCCACATGTTAACCATTGCCGTGGTGCCGGCTGGCACGTGGAACTTGCCGATATGAACATCGTGGACAGCAAGCCGCGCCCACGAGAGAAGTGGGCCCGGTGGGTGAAGCCTGAGAACTTCCTTCACAATGGATTGGAGGTAGGGAAGGTTTGAGATGTCAATATCTCGCACACGATTGCGTTGCCCAACACGCTCATCAATTTCTTGACGGGCTTTTGTTTGGATATCTTGGTGTAAAACCATCCTAGTCATAATCCACTCAAGAAGGATCGCAATTGTGTCTGTTCCTCGAAACATCATTTCCTACATCAACCAGTCAAATATTTTACTCACATCAGGATGATAAAGGATCAAAAAAGAAATTTAATTACTAAATTACTCCTCTGGTCTTTAATATAGAACCTAATTGTTGAGTTGATTTTGGTCCTAAATATAAGGCCTATTTCTTATATTTATCAATTTTTTTCTAAATTACTCATATAGATACTCCATCAACTATGATCAAGTAGAAGAGGGAGAGAAGATATTAATAAAAAAAATGTATGTCATATTTCTTATAATTAATTAACTAACCTAACTTTCTTAATCTAATCAAATTAGTTACATAGGTCTTATACGAAGAACCAGGGGAGTATCATTTTCTATTACATGTTTCTCAATTACTATGAGGTTTTTGAGTGATTAGATATGTTTTTTGAGACTTTATAACAATTCTCCTATTACAATCTTATTCATAGTGTCTATATATTTTAGGCCAGCAAGTATCAATATATTTCTATATAAATATATTTATTTTTTTGGTACACATATAAACATATTGTTCTTAATTGGCGAGACATAGAGAGGAAGATTCTTACCCACAAAATAGCTACTATATCTGAATCACTTAGCCTCTCCTCTTTGGGCAAAGACAAGAGAGCTCCGAGAAAATCATTATCTTCTTCTCCATTCAATTTTGCACTTGTTTTTCGTTCTTCTACCATTTGACCCACAACCCGAGTAACCTTACCTGCCAACTTTTGGCACTTTCTTTTCACTCTACCAAAGTCCATAAATTTAAATGGAAAATAGTCTTCCCAATTGAACTGGACAATTAGTTCATACCCTTCCTTAACCATATGGCCTAGCTCCTCTCTCTTTGAACTCGTGCAATTACCAAAGACGCCCTCCAATATATTCCCAAGTGACCCTTCTTGGAATATTTCCCTCACTTGCACCACCCCTTTCTCTTCCATTTCTTTCCACACTTTTTTCATCATTTCCTCCACCACTTGTCGCCGGATTCCTTCCTGCCCTGAGATTCTCTTCGGACAGAACAAATGGACCGCTGTGATCTTACGAAGTTGGCGCCAATACTCACCATTTGGAGCAAATCCAATGGCACGCTCGAACATGAGCAGGCGAGCCGATTCTTTGATAGGTCGGTCTGAGAACGCCAAGCTACATAGGATTTCTTGAGCTGTCTCCGGATGGCTTGCAATGATGACTGGGTTGGCTCCTAAGCTAATCACCATGAGCCGTTTTGCATTTAGCGAAGCAGCCATTGTAGCAAGTTTACGGTGGGCTAGAGAGCCCATTTGAGGCAAAGACCCCAATATGGGCCAGCCCATTGGGCCAGAGACATTGATATTGTTACCATAACCGTAATTTCTCCATGCAAAACCCCCTGGGACGAACCAATAGTTGAGGGAGATAGCAAATATAGAGAGGAAAAGAGAAAGAGGCCAAGAAGAAGAAGAAAGGATAATTTGGGAAGTTATTTCCAGACCAAGTACTAGGAATAGGAATAGTACCGGGATAAGCTTCATGTTTGGGAGAGACTTGAGATTGGAGAGAGTTAAGAAGAGAAGTGGGAGTGTTATATGACTATTGAATAGCTCATGAAACTATGGGGAGATGGACGCCTGTCGTCAGGGGGATGAATTGAGTTGTACATATAGGGGTTTGAAAAGTGATCGAGTTAAAGGATGTCGGGTTAAAATCTAACCATGGTTAGTCATTTGCAATTTTACATACCACACAATAATATATTTTGTTAAGTTAAATATTCTAGAGAAAAGGGCTTTCACCACCAACTCACTTCGTCACATCAGACCAAGACCCACCCCTGCCCTTTTGTCGTGATCAATCCGCCATCAAAGAAGGGGAAAAATGTGCCCCATTTTTTTTTCTCTACCAATTAGTGAGCTTTTGGTTCGCAATTTGCCAAAACTACATTTGCTACCCTCTGTCGGCTGAAAATAATCCTCACTTGCGTTTCCCAATTGTTTTTGGCCAAGCTTGCGGTTTCCAAATTGTCTTTCAAATTTTAGGTTTTATAAACATGGTTTAGACTTTAGAGTGTGTTCGGATAATGCTGGTAAAATTAATTTTTATTTTAATTTACTTTTTCAAATTGAAATAGAAATAAAAGTTAATTAATATAATGTGATTTATACCTGGATAATGAACGTCAATTTAACAAACTAGAATTTATTTTGATGATTAATTGAAAATCATGTTTAGATGTGAAATGATTGAAAAAAGCATGAGTTTTATTACATGTATTATATTTATATAACGTAATAATTTGAAGAAAAATATTAAAATTAAAATTATAAAAATAAAAAAGAATTAATGTAATGTGGGGAAAATTGTAAATACCAAAACAAATAATTAGATATATTTCAATTTAGCAGATACGACATATTCCCCGGAATACAATATCCCACCTATACATAAAATTGAGGAAACAAAAAAAAAAAAGAAAAAGAAAAATGCGTAACATATCGATAAGTTTATTATAAAATTCAGACTAAAGTATGCTCTTGATTCTCTAACTTTATATAAGGTTTTATTTTGATCCCTTAACTTTTAAAAATAAACTTTTAGTCATCTAACTTAAAACTATTAACAAAAAATGATGATATTGAAATATTAAATGTTGATAAAACATGACTAAACACTACTCCTCCAGTCCTAAATATAAGATCTTTTTTTGTAATGTAATTAATACTACAAAAAGAATCATATATTTAGGATCGGAGGAGTATAATATTAAGTTTAATTTTCAAAACAACTATGATTGTCACAAAAAAAAATTATTTAAGACTAATAATTTTAGTGTTAAAGGACTAAAAATATACTTTTAAAATTAAAAAACTAAATTAAAACTTTACATAGAGTTAAAAGATCAAATGTATATTTTAGTTTTAAATTCATAATTAGAATCTTAAAAACATGTTGCGAGAAGGGAGCGACATTTACTCGCTAGTGATGTCGGCCAGAGAAAAGATTACACGAGGGAAAAGGAGCGAATGATGGGTAGGTAAAAAATTTTTAAAATACAATACTTTTTAGAAGTAATTTTTTTCACGCACTGTGAGAGTTGAGACAGCTTGATATGTAAGTTATCAGAGGAGGTGTTTGACAACTTCCAAACCATAGTTTCAGAAGTACTTTTCTGCAAAACGAGGCAAATTCCTCCACGTATTTACTTCATAAACTGTAAAAACACTTTTAAAACTACGATTCCAAATATCCCCTTAGAAGTTTTGGCTCAAAAATCACTTTTATGACCCCGCCCCTGAGGGCGTGATACCAAAGAAGCGCAGTAAAAGTAAGTTTTCTGAAAACACTTCTTAAGGAGTTGGATGGGGCATCGAAACACCTGCTGAACAAAAATTAGAAATCAAGTCTGCTTCACTTGGAAAAAGGAGAAACGAATAGTGAGATGATGACAAAAACAAATTAAAAAGGAGAGTCGTGAAAAGAAAAGAAAAGAGTGAAAAGCACGGTGGAGATATTACTATCCAAGGGAAAGGAAATGAGAGGACTTATCTTTTGGGGTGTACCTCATAGGAATCGCAAGTGCAAGCTTTTCTAGGGATAATTTGTATGACGATTCTCGTTAGCTTGTGAAAAAGAGTACACTTTTACAATAATGTGCCATATTTTGCCTTGCCAGGTGTTATAGAAAATCTTACGGAAACTTATATTGTCTCTCAATAATGCTGATATCGTTTTTATCTTTTACTTCAAGGACATCCCACAAGGTCACACTTGGACTGAACAAAATGGTACATGTGTTTCCTTGTACTATGTACCCTTTAATGTCCTAACAATCTCCATCCTCATATATGTGTACCTCTGTATTTTCTCTTGATCCCATCTCTTTTCTTTTTCCTTTCTCCTAACATAAATTTGACTTTGATGACGTATCTTAAGTTTTAAGTTTTGTTCAAAAAAGAATCTCTGAAGCTTATGGCCCATTTTTAAGCTTGTCAATACATGTCAAATAGCACTAACTATAGTTTAAAACTAAAATGAATTTGAGGTTTTGATTAGTGGAGTACATCTTTCATGCTTTTTAATTGATTACTCTCTCTCTCTTTTCAAATCACAAAACCTTGTGTGCTACAAAAAAATTGAAATATATGATGTGGAACTATCCCCCTACTCACAAAAACATAAAAGTTTCCAATCAAGACCATATCCCCAACGGTGGATGCCTAAAAAATTCAAACTTTAAAAGGCAAATACTTGTATATAATTAGATTTAAAACCGTTTCCAATCAATCAACCAAAGAGAATATTCATAAGGTATTAACATTTAATCCTAAAGTTGAGGAATACAAGTGGCCACATCGGTCATTTCTTATTGTAGGACTATGGTTGATAATTAAAATTCCCACGGACTCCTACATGTTGGCTGTAACAGAGACGATTGGATGATGAGAGAATCAGAATCCAAAGAAAGACAAATGACGAAAATCCCAAAACAGCGAATGCAAGAAAAAGCAGGGGGCCTTTACAGCAAAGGCAAATTATTGCCCCTAGCAGATTCTTCAGGAAATATCAGCAAAATTCAAGTGGTTTCTTTTGCCCGGCTTTTTGTATTTAAAATATTTTATTTTAGTATCATCCAATCCAACACTTACAGACCCAAGTGCCCAATTGATCGTGAATAGGTAATGGCCATTATCCGGGTTCAAGTGAGATCACTTTAATTTCTCATGGTGCCAAGGTCACCAATATGCATCTGCCACCATAATCAACTTTTGTACTATTAAAAGAAAGTGGTGTCAGCTTTTGTACTATTAAAAGAAAGTGGTGAGTCTTTGGCAAATTAAACCATTCAGGAAATTTTTAGCTATATCTATTTTTTTAAAAAATAAATTAAGATTATTGACCCCCCTGAGGAGAAAAAGAACTGAGTTGGTTATGCATAAATATTTAGGTATATGATAAAAATATTTGAGCAAGACTCTTATCCATACAATCTAACTTAAATATTTCTTATAATTAGTTCAGTCCACAAATATTTTTATAGAATTCGTCTATTTATGAAATATTTTTCTAAGTAGACATGCCAATCACATCATCAAGGAATTATACTTTCAGATGACTATAATCTGGTAAAAATCTCTGGGATGAAGAAGTGTACATATGTTACAATGTAAAGTTGAAGAAAATTTAGGGGGAAAAAGGAGGTCAGAGACCAAAATCACTACTTTAGTGGCCAATTCGTCTACCAGACCCTTTTATATACAACGAAATAATCTTCCTAATTGAAACTCCAAGGTGCAAACGATACTTCCAAGTTTTGCAAGGAAAAAAGATGAAAAGTGCTTATCTTGAAGGTGGCGAAGAAATGTGAAATTTGGCCATTTTTACCCATGCTGCCATATACATTGCAAGAATAATCCATCCAAAGATGTCATATTTAAGATCACAGTCACTACTCTGCTGCCTTTTGGATTCCTGAAATAAACCAAATAACTGTCAATGAACAGCCAATGCCACAAATATGTGAGAATAGTGTTGTCCTTAGAGATGATTGAGTCAAATTACCTTCAAAGAGAAACATTCAGAGAAAAACACTATCTAACAATCCAACGCAACAAAGCTACTTGCATCATTTTCTTCCACAAACATGGCATTTAAGTGAACAACCAGTTCAAATGACAAAGAATCATAGGTCACATTCGGCAATAGAAACGTTTTCAAACAGAAAGGGAAAGAGGATGTGAATCAGAACGGGAGAGGAAAATGGGCTATTTATAAAATCAAGTTGAATGTTTGGGATAGAGGAAAAAATGAAAATATTTGAACAGAAGAAATTGAAAAAAAATAAACGACACAAAAAATACATAAAACTAGTCTCATATGATAGAAGAGTCATCCTTTGATATCACGGTTTCCAACGAAAATGAGACTTTTGAGCTGTCTTAATGGAAGGATCCTTTCCATATTTGATAGAAGTGAGCTTTTGATTGGAAGAACTATTATCGCCTACCAAACAGATCAAAACCGATTTTCTCTCCTTTCTCCCTTTCTTGAAACTCCTTTTGTCTAAAACTTGACTTAAAAATGTTCCTCAATTTTAACAAGCCGGTTAACTTGTGCCACACTCCCTCAGTTTACATGACTATATGAAACAATGAACTGCTGAGTATCTCTCAAAGCTAACTAACATCTCTATGCAGATAGCCAAATAACCAATCCACAGGAATAATATGTCAGCCCCAGCCAATGGTAGTGCTTTAACAGACACTTCTATGTAATACACGGCCAACAAATACAGAAGCAATGTGGCCCAAAAGCTCGTTAAATCCACATTTAGACTCGCATTACTTTATCATTCTATAAACACAAGCAGACCGATGCAAAACTACACTAGAGCTCAGAGAGACACAGCTTCCGCCAAATCCAAAGAGGATGTTGTCAAAACTCAAGCTTTCCAATTTCCACATCGAAATACCATTAGGGTTTATCTGTGGTGGTGGTACCAAAATACAATCTTGGTGAAACCACGTTAATCAATAATACAGATTAGAAATACATAATAAATTTTACCTATCAAGTTTAGGAGGCATAATGCCTCTGACGAAGGGAAAACTACAGAACAGATTATGTGTTAACAAAACCAGCTCCAGAAGTTAATATTGCAGGTTGGGGTATTTATAAGCATGACCACAGTTCAGTTCAATGAAATTAGATTCTCGCAGGTCTGACCTTTCCGTTAGGAGTGCTTGATGATTGGCCACTCTGCTCCTGATCAAACCCTTCTTTGTGGATCTTGACGTGCAATTCTGGGGCCTAACAAGTATGGTGAGTTTAAAAACCATGGAACTGCAAAACGACTTCTATGTAACTAACCAATCCAGTAACAACTAGATGAGTGACATTGCCAGATACAATATGTTGCATTATGACCCACACCAAGTTCAAAACAGCCTTTGGTCGATTGCTTCAATATCTATTAAATCATTAAACCTTAACCCTCTAGTCCGCCAAAAGATATTTAGCATGGCGGGTTTCAACATTAAGGGGCAGATACCCTGCATTTTCTCCTTTTTGTTATTGGTTCATAAAAGATCAAAAATATTAAGTGATAGACTATAGATCAATCAATAAAACCTGACAGAAAACCCTGAAGTAAACTGCAGAAGTTTTAACATTAATAGTTTAAATTACTACTTCTCTGGTCTTATTTATAGGGCAGAAAGATAAGACATTTTTTTATCTTATTTATAGGGCGATGAGAGAAATTTTTTTTGTATCAATGTACAATTTTATCCTTAATTTATTATATTATTAACTTTGTTTACATGAGATATAATGTATATTAAATAGGGATAAAGTTGAAAAGTTGTTGAATTTTGAATGAGAGTTAATGAAATTTAAGGTTTTTGTTGGAAGTGACTTATAAATAGGACCCTGAAGTAAACTGCAGAAGAAATACACAGCAAGAAGTCTTTCTTAGCAAACATGGGGGGAAAAAAAACAAGAAGAAGAAGAAGACTAGCATTTCTCAGGCTAGATCAAAAATAGAGTAATATGCAAGCAAGTTGCAGTCGATTTGAGCACAAAGAAGCAAATTTTGAACATGAATCCGACAGAAAAAAATATTCATGTGATTGACATAGCAATTTTCATTATACCTTAACAATAATTTCCAAGGACTTCTTATAAAGCTCATTCTGAGGATCCTACAAAAACAGATTCCACCACTTAAAAACTGCCAGATTTAGAACTAAAATATACTATAACTCAAAAATAGAATTTACCTCCTGTACGGCTTTTTTAAAACACTCATATGCCTTGTCAAAATAATTCTTTGCCTCATCGAGATCAGGAGTTAGAAATGCAAGAGATTTTTGAGCATTTGCCAGGTACCAAAGAGTGTCATGCTTCGTAGGACTGATTAGTAAAGCTTCCTCCAGATGTGAAATGGCATCTGTACAGTTGGTTCCGTCAAAATCCATAAGAACTAGAAAGAGCAACTCATGCTGATAAAGGAGAACTAACTTCAAGATGGTAGGCGTAAATTTTGCTCAGTGAGACTCATAATATACCAATAATCATCCTCTTGGATCCACAGGGATTTTGGCACTGCGACAACTCAAGCAAAGCTCCTCCCCACCTGGTCAGAATCTGCATGAACGCGTGTTTCAAAATAGTGAAAGTAAGGCCAGGATTTTGGTAATAGAAGAGGTAAAAATTTTCATTACAATTGTCCCTTCCTCACTTATTATTTACTATTGGAACAAAATTCAACATGTGCGTTACCAAAAAAAAAAAAACATGTGCTACTACGCATATATAAACATTAAAGACTATGCCGTGATTATTTAATGAAGCCTAAATAAAGTGGTAAAGTTTTAAGTCAGGATGTAATTATACTGAAGATTAATATGTAGAGACTGAAGTGATATTTCTTATTTGGCATGGAAGACCTACGTCTTATTCTCTGGAATTGAAATGGGATTGGTACATGTCTAAGGATTGGGTTGATAAAGAAATCTGTGACTGAATAATTTGCATAGATTAGTAACACAAGGCCAAAACGTGATTACGTGAACGGCAAGCAGCAATATTTCCACATTATCACTAAAATAAATTAAACAACCAAAAATCAACACCACACTGTCCAAAGAAATGCAAGAAATTAAAAGCTTCGATACAATATCATAAATTAATGAAAAGAATTTTGCAAAACATTTCTAGCACAAAATTTGTATGTCCGACGATCAGATAGCAGCAGAATGGCACTTTAAAAAAAAAAAAAAAGAACCTCGGCCTCATGAAGGTTCTCTTCGGCATTCTTCGAGTTACACTCCGATAACAGTGCGCGATCAAAGTCGTTTTCAGAAAATTCCATTGCGAAACGCTGGAAGGGAGAAATATGAAGCTTTTCTTCAAATTTGCATCTTCTTCTTCTTCTTCTCCTCCTCCTCCTCTCTTTCTGCCTTGATACGTCGCAGGAAATCCGTGAGACTGCTTAAGATCAAGAATCGGTAGTGATGCATATGATAAATTCAACATCAAACTGCAATTTTGGTATTTCATAGCCAACATTTTGCGCACCTTTGTTCACGTCGAACAGGTGATGGAAGTTGGAGAGGATGGGGGGTTCGATAATCTTAATCATTGGTTTTACATGATCAACCCATTATTTGAGAACCGAGAGGGAAAAAAATGGTGGGATTGGTTGTGTTTCCTTGTCATTCCCTCCTTTTCCTCACTAATAATTGAATTGAATTAAAAGAGCAAACTGATTTACCCAAAAAAATTATCATCTCCAATTTGTTTCTCTCGCAATAGAAAATTATTCTGTTCATGCTTGTCTCTCCCGGTTATATATTTTTAGTATTAAAACCTCACATTCTTTAATATTTTGCCCTCCTACAACCATTTTTTTGGTGGCTCTTACTTTTTAATATTTAACTTATTCATTCCCGCCAATATATATAGCACTCCACGTGTCCAACATTAACAATGTCATTCAGCTCATGGAAACTTGACGTGCCTTTTAAGGGATGTTTGATTTTAGCTTATTTTAAATAATTTGGTACTATATAAAGTAAATGCTCTTCTGATAAGGTAGGAAGAGAATGTATTTTTTTGGTCAAGTTATGTAACTTTACTCTCTATTTATTTTATGGATTGTCACTTTCTTAAAAAGTACCATACAGTTAAATAAGAATAAAGTTTTAGAAGTTACTAAAACGTAAGATCGAGTTAATGAATTTAAAGTTTTTTTAATTCGAATGAAATATGTTAAATGAAGTAGCTTGCAAATGAAACTAGAAGACCGCGAAAATAATTTTGTCTCAGACATAAGAGTTCATATGATCTATGACCCTTTGGATGTGATGAAGAAGAAAGTTTGAATCACATCTTTGCACAATATAATACAATTACTCCAAGCCAATATGGTTCGTTAATAACAAGATTAAACTCTCTTTCTGTTTTTGCAGTTAGATACAATACAAGAAGCAATCCTGGCAAACAATCCTGTGCACATATATATGTACATATATATATATATCACTGCCAGCCAAAAAAGGCAAAAAAAAAAAAAGAGAAGAAAAATCTAGGTGTATATTGTGAATAATTAAGGAGAGAATGGACCAGAATAGGAGGAGATGACAGAAGAAGACTCGTCTCTGATATGAGAAGCGAAGGTAGGAGGTTGATGAAAAACCTTTGTACTGTTGTGTATTTTGTTCCTTCCAACATCCTTAATAAACGACATATTTTGCTTCCCCATGTTTATGCTATTCATTGAAGAACGCCTACCACTGCTAGTGCCTGGCCTCATCATCCCATAATTATTATTCTCTTGCTCTACTCTTGCTCTTGGACTCGCCGGAACCTTCTTCTTTTCCTATCACAGAAAAATCCCAAGTTAGACAGTAATATTTATCCACTAAAATGAAGATACGTGTATATTTATATTATACTGTATATTATATGCATATTTGATGTTTTTTCAATATACTACCTTCTCCGATTCTTAATATAAGAACTAGTTGACTAATTTGAGTAGATTAAAAAAATTTGTTAAGTTAGTTATTTGTAATAAATAGGTGTTGTCTTCTTTAAAATACCTTGCTAATCATGTATATTAGCTAGAATTACTATTTGATGAAATTTTTAACATGTGCAACTACCACAATGATTACTTTTAAAAAAATGGATAAATAAAAGAGACAAGATAGATTGAGATCTTATAATTGAAAATCAAACTAACTCTTATATTAAGGACTGGAGATAGTATATATATACTACCTCCGGTCCTAATTATAAGACCCAGTTGACTAATTTGAGGAGATTAAGGAAATAAGTTAAGTTAGTTATTTGTAATAAATAGGTGGTCTTTTCTAAAATATCCTTACTAATCAATTATATTGGCTAGAACTATAATTATTAAAAGGACTATCTTGGAAAAAAATACATAAATATGAGAGACAAAGTGGATTTTGGTCTTATATTTAGGACCAAAATAAAAGTTAAACATGGTCTTATATTAAGGATTGGAGGTAGTATTATATTTGAAATACTTACCCTCTGCCTTCTTTTCTCTTCCTCCCTTTCTTGCCTAACTGCGTTATACTCTTCGAACATCGCCATCAAAGGTACCTGCCAAAAGATTTCATTTTTCATATCGTTATTAACTTGTCATCATTTTGTACTCACCATGCTAAAAATGATATACATGTGTGTATACACACACGTGTCTGTATAAATCAATGTGTGGCCGTGGGGTTAATTATATTGTTCATAATTTATATGTATAGTCCGGAGAGAATTTCTCATAGATACATACGAATGCATGACGAGAGAGAAAAAGAAAAATCACGTCTAATAAAGGAATATGTCATTATATAGTGTTTATTTGTCGTAGGATTTTTTGGTGATTACTACAAAGAGTACTTTTTTTATATTATAGATACTCCATCTAATTCTAAATATAAAACCCATTTTATAATGTAATTTATAGTACAAAATAAATCTTATATTTAAAATCAGAGAAGTACTTTTCTTCCTAATGCTTGAAGTGAATTTAGGGGATGTTTGGATAGAAACCAAACCATAATTTCAAAAGTACTTTTACGGTTTATGAAGTAAATATGTAGAAGAGTTTACCTTGTTTTACGAAAAAGTACTTCTTAGAAGCACTTTTGGACATTCCCAAACACCTTTTTAGATCTCGTGCGATCTACATCTAAGTCTATAACTGTAACTAAAAGCCTAATCCACGACAAAAGTGAATGTATAATTCATAACCTTATAAAGCAATGTAGAACTTTGAATTGAAGGCATAATTTGCGACAATAATGATGCAGAACTTTTAATTTAAGAAATCTTATCCAAGTAAACAGATTTGTCACCCGCTAGGTCGCTACTCTTAATTAATTCCGTGTCATTTCAGTTTTATGGAAAAAAATGCCTTTGAAGGTACTATTAGTCTAGCTCTAAACGTAGTGGCTTTATTTAATTAGGATGTATTATTGCAACCTTACAATTACTTTAACTCTTTAGTTTACTCTTTCCAAGTACATAGTTTATCAATTTACGTGAAGAATAAATAATAATTAATTGGGAGTTTCAAATATTGAAAATGGGCTCATTATATCTTACTTGATCATACAAGAAAACTTTATTTCTTTCTTCTTCCCAACTCCTAGTCATATCCACAAGCATGTCCACCAAAGCTGAAAAAAATAAAATCAAGTTAGCAACATTTTTTTTTTGGGGAGTTGATTAGGTCTCGTTGTTTTTAATACCTGGTATTTTCTTGACCAGTGATCTAGCTCGTTCTGCACGTCTCAAGTTCTTATGGTTTCCTCTACTTACTGTGTATCGTTTCTCATCCTGACACCACATACACAAGTTTCTTAATTCAGAATATCAATTTGGACTCAAAAGTTCATACTTCACAAATCTGAAATGACAAGGTGATATGAAAAATAGAGTATCAATTTGACAGTGAAGATGTTTGTGCGTGTGTGTGCCTGGGATTTTCTAACCATGCTGTATTCTTCAAGCCAGCGTTCTTCATCGCGTGCCAATATCCACTTTTCTACTTTCTCCATTATTGCCTTCCTGCTACAAGCTTCTTCTTTTGCTCTTGCTATCTGTTCGTCCATGCTCATGAGCAGATCCGAATGGTCGATCTCCCCTTTAAATTTTACACGTTCAAGTGATCAATCAGTTCAATTTCCACGTTGCTTCAACACTTTCAAAGCCATTCATATATAACCTAGATGTATATAAATATATATATCCCACTTTCTCACCTGAGTTAATGAGTCCAACAATATTGTTTATATCTGACTTTGAAGGAATCTCCATGTGGGTTTTACTGCATATGAGCTCGAGTTCCTCCTGTTTCTTCTGAAATAGCTCTTTCATCTTGCTGGCTTTAAGTTGATCCAGTCTCCTTACTTCAGCTTCAGCCTTGGAAAAATCTTAATTAGTAAGACCCTGAAATGTTTCTGAAAGATCCTGATAGACATATGTATCAGATACGTAGTCTATGTACTAACCTGTTGAATTATTTCTATGGTGAGACTTCCTGGATCTGATACTTCTGCTGGTGAGAACGACAACAAATTGATCACATGAGAGAAAGGTTTCTGATCTTCTTTTGGTGTGTCCATAAGATTCCATAGCTTTATCAGTTCTTTACCTAAATGATGAAGCTGTAAAATTTATCAACAAGCGGTTTCAGAGACGGATATATCAGTCACATCCACCTCTAAACATATTTTTAATGTATGACTATGACATTCCTCGTATGAAAAGAAACGACGAGATGAACACTTTTTCACCTGGTCGAGTCGCTTGTGTTTTTCTTCCACGAGGGATTCAACAGTGTGATTGAGTTTAGTGAGAATAGTGTCACTGATATTCTTTGTTACTCCACACAGATCGTTCAAGCTTGGATCAACTTCTGTGATGATGGCTGAGTAATCCTTTCCCAGTATTATCGACAAGCTGTGGATTATGTCTACGTATTTCTCCACTTGTTGCAGCCTCTCGTTCTTCCAAAGAACAAGTAACCCCACACAATATTAAGAAATTTGAACAATGCTAAGTTTATATAACAAACATTAAAGTATAACAATCCTACTTAATTTGTTCTAATTCATATAGAGATAGCATACATGTATTTATTTAAAACAAGGAGAGAGATAGACACATGATAATAAACTCTACTTGTGTGGGGCTCACGTGTCAGAAATGAGGCCCGTTGTTATAATTTTCTAAAGTGACTTTATTTAAAGCAAGGAGAGAGATAGATACATGATAGTGGTGGGTCCTACTTTTATAAGATGACCCTCATACTAGAAATGAGGCTTGTGATTATATATCTATCTTTCTCTTCATTTAGCTAGAAAACTCTGGGATTAAGCCACAATACTTCAAGTTCAAGAGATTATATTGGATTTTGTAATAGTACCTTCTCATTGTGGAGGCGTTGCAGCTCACTGTTGAACTCATCAAGTTTTTTGAGAGAGAGATCATTTTCATTAACTATGATGTTTGAGGTTGTAGTAATGTCGGATTGGCCAGCAATTTCAGCAGAGAGTTTCTGAATTTGGGACTGCACATTTCGGAATTTGCCCAACCTCTCTTCTTTCCTCAGTCTCATCTCTTTCAATGCTGGTGTTATTGAATCTAGCTGTTCTTTCAGTGTTCCTGCCCTTTTCTCTGGCTGCCGTATATATATGATTAACCAGGTCATGTTTTCCATACAACAACAGCCTTATTCTACTAAGTGGGATCAAGCATATGAATCATATGACGTCATTTGATCATTAAATATGAATAAAGTTCCAAGGAAAGCACCCTCTCATAATTACTCATGAACAAAATTTAGTCTCATTTAGATAGACTCCATATATCAGTAAGAAAAGAAAAGGAAAAACATATCATTAAGGTTATTTTCTGCCTTAGTTTCCAAGGACTAACTAACAAGTAATAAGTATCACCAACGAATAATCATACCCGTACTCCAGGAAGAGATGGTTCACCAAGAGACAAAAGAAGGTGAGTGAATTCAGCTTCAGACTCAGCAACCTGCTGATGAAGACGAGCTCTTCCTATATTTGCTCTGTCAACTTTTCTCCTATAAGCATCCACACATTCTTGTTCCAGCTCCAACAACATTTTCTCTCTCTCAAACTCATCTTCTCCTACCTCATCCCATATCATCTGCAATCATTTCAACACAAAGTTATTTGAACCTGAAACTTGCTGCATTTTAATCAGTAAATAATTAACTATACCTGCAGTTCCTGCAGTAAGAATCCGCATGATTTTTCCAGCAACGTGGAGCTTCTTGAGCCGATTAATGGAGTCTGAACCGAACCCATATTAGATTGTACTCTTCTGATTATATGATCACTAGTGTGTCAGTACGTTGTTGTTGTGAAAGATGGAAGACGCAGAGGGATATGACTGAAGGCTCCAATGTTCAAGTGTGGATGGAAGATGGTAGGAGCATGTTGGGTATGAGTTTTTGCTTCAAATACAAGCATATTGGGAATGGGAAGCTTTCCATGATTCTTCCAGGCTTTCTTTTATTATTGCTCTGAGCTTTTTAAGAACATGAGCAGTGTCTTTGTCTTTCAGACCTAAAACTGGTAGACTTCCATAGTCATAGATGTGATACGTGTTCTGCATCACCCTTTTGTTCTCGTCTTTTTCACTTTTGTGCGACTTCATTCCCACGTTAACTTTGGTCTAATGCCTCCGATCTGTAAATATTTAAGTTTTTTGGTAGTAATTACTCATTAGATTAACTAGGTGCAAAGATAATAGAATAAATTAGAGGGGAAACATTGAATAAAACGTACCACCTTGCTCACCTAATTGCGTGTTAACTCAACAGAGGGATGTGTGTGTGAGAGAGTTTGATTCAGCCAAAAGGAAATTAAATGAGAGAGAGAGAGAGAGAGAAAAAAAATACAGGCATACAGTGCCTACAGGAGTGTGAATGAAGGAACACAGAATATGAAAATATAATGAGAAAGAAAAGCCATCACTTTGACACTTTTTAATTATATGTATCAATATGCACTCAATGCTTCTAATTTAGGCAACACCTGGATAACTTGTTTTCATAGCAACTAACATCTTTGGCCGCCACTAGCATCATCTTTTCCCTTCCTTTCTCAATTCCGACTCTTTATTAAAATAACATCATACTCCTTTTAATCTTATTATTTGATCTGATTCTTTTATTGAATTAACTTATGCTTTTACACAAAATCACGGATAATTGTGGGATTAAGTGAAAAGAAACTAATATTTCCTCTACTCCTAAATATAAAAGCGAGGAAAGTGGTTTGTTTTAATCTAAATATAAGTAAACTTTATCTTTCAAATTTATAATTTTTCTTAAAATCTTCTTATAAATTGCACATATAAAAAGGACATTCATAACGGAGTATTTTTCATTGCAAATGGTTAACTCTTACTTTATCCAAGCATAATTAAAAGGAGTATTTTAAGGAGCACTCACAATTTTTTAATTTTTACGAATTAATTATCAGGTTGCTATATTTAGGAGCATTCAGACCGGGTTGATGACTTGTGGTTTCAACTGAAATGAAAGACCATATAGAAAGATTTGTATCCTGCATAACTAAACCCAATAATACTCAAATTTGAATAATAATGAGAATCAACTATTACCTTCGGTCTTTAATATAAGACCCCATTTGACTTTTATGTTGGTCCTAAATATAAAACCCCAGTCTATTTTGTCTATCATATTTACTTAGTTTTTCCAAGATAGTCCTTCTAATAATTATAGTTTTAACCAACATACTTGATTAGTAAGGATATTTTAGGAAAGACAACACCTATTTATTACAAATAACTAACTTAACTTCTTTTCTTGATTTCCTGAAATTAGTCAACTGGCTCTTATAATTAGGACCGGAGGTAGTATTAGATAGTTGTAAAAAGAAGACCCTTATAATACCTGTAAATCATAATAAAAATTTTAGACGCATGAATTATAATTTTAAAATGTAACAATAATAGTTTAATTTTATAATTTTTTAATGATAGTAAATTTTAGAGTTAATAACGGTTAATATTTATAAAACATGAGTCTTTAATTGTCATTTTTCCTTTTTTTTTAATTAAAGCATCAGTATCTTTTTATTAGAGGAAATCCTATTCAAAGTACTGTCAGATATTAGTAGGGATTTAAATCTTGATTCGTTATGTTATGAATGATTAGTTCCTTCTGCTAATTATTTTCTTCTTTCTTTGCCAGAATAACAGGCCTCTGGTCCTTCTTTTGGGCCCAATATTATATGACTGGAAATTATGTCCGGTGACAATATCCAATCGTCACAGGCCCAGTGAGCCTCAAAATAGTGGGCTTTATCCCAATTTCATTTTCCGTTGTTAAAAAAAAAAATAAAAGCCGTTATTCTACTTCGCAGTTCGGACCTGCGAGGGAAGGCCGTTTTGGAATTTTAAGTTCCAACGCTGTGGTCTGTCACCGGCTTCTCCTCCTCCGCCAGATACTCCAGGTCCAACGACTCCACTGTACACACTGCACCATGACAAAAAAACCAGAAGCTCCTGATGCTAAACCTCCTTAATTCAGTCACTGCCTCCACCTGAAGTTTCTGAAGAGCTTCAAAACGAACCAGAAAAATGGCTGGAGGTGGAAGGAGAAGCGCTCGCAGCAGAATCAGATCCTTCACTGATCACAACGATGATGAGTCTGTTCGTCCAGCGAAACCCAGTTTCAAGCTTCGTAATAATAGAACCAAAGATCGAAGCTATCTCCCAATATTCAACGCGTCTTTTAAAGTCTTGCTTGGTGTTTGCTTATTAGCATTCTTCACTATCTTGTTTATGATCCATCACATCCTAAATCGTCACGCAGAAGTTCATATACCTAGGGTTATCACACCATTTCCTGCGCCAAAGATGATGGACCTCCCTCAGGTTAAGGATGCATTCCTTTATCTAATAATATTTTGGAAATTTCGGCTTTTGTTGTTTGTTTTGGGAATTGAATAGTTTCGGCGTATCACAGTTCCACGGTCAGCACAAGGAGAGTTTATATTGGGGAACTTATCGGCCCCATGTATATCTCGGAATTCGTGCGAGGTAATATCTTGCTCTGCTCCAAACTCCTTTTGTTCTGTAAACGAAACTCAAATGTTGACAGCTCATAAAAATTCCATTGTCATATTTGTGTGTTAATGTGTTATAAGCTCAAGCCTTGGCAGTGTGATATGAAGTGTGGTCTGAAAACCAGGGTGGCTTAGCTTGCTTTGATTTTGCGTGATAATGACAGCAAAATTTTATGTCTTTGCAACATTCTCAGAAATCATTATTTTGTGATTGCAGGACTCCTAAATCTTTGATTTCTGGATTAATGTGGATTAGCATAAAGGATGGCAGATATCACATGCGACATGTATGCAACAATGATGATGGGCTAAGCACTTATGGTTGGAAAAGTCATAATGGGCGTGATTTTGGGCATCAGTTGCTAGTTGACCATGGCATGAATTTGGATATTAGTTTCTTGAAATCAAAGATGGTTGGCAGTGGTTATGGAGGGGATTGGGCTGTTCGAATTGAAATGCAAATTGAGAAGTAAGTGATATTATTAAATTTTGTTAGGATTTTTTATCATAGAAAGTTTCATTAATGGATCTATTAGAAATAAGTTTCCATGAGCTTCTAATTGGCTTATGATGTGATTTAATTGAGTTTCGATGGATAACAAGTACGTCAATATTGAGTTCAGGTTCAGCATTCTGAATTCAGTTTTGCATTCTATGTTTGCATGTAACTCTATAATGATAGAGCCTTAGTATCCCAAAGTAATCCCTTTTTGTTCTATCCATAGAGTGATTTATTGTGGTCCTTTCACAGATCTGAATGGGATGAAGAATTTGGTGGAAATGCCCAACTCTTTTTCTACTTGGCTGATGAGGGTGGTCATGTTCTAAGTGTGAGTGGAGATTATTTGAACAATCATGAGGATTCCATAATCGCATCTGGCTCTCGAACAGACATAGGAGATTGGCAGCTACATTTAAAATCAATGGTAATGTTGAGAAAAACATCTCATGGTAAAATATTCAAGATTGTGCTTTTTGTACTATCAGTGGACCATTTGTGGAGTTTATGATTGATTGCCTATAGTTAAGTCACGCTTGAAAAAAAAAAAGAAGGGAAAAAGAAAGAAGCAACCATTCTTCCTGTTTCTTTCCTTGAAACAGTTTAACAATATTGTAAAATCATAAAGAAATGGATCCCCACAACTTTTAGCCAACCTGTATTATACCCTTCTTTTGATAGATAAAACTACCTAGATGAAAATTTTAGATACTCCTTTTTTCTTGGACCTTTTAGTGACCCATAAATTCAGCTTCATTTACCATCCTAATATAGTAATTGTTACTCCTTTGGTTCACAATAATTATCATGTTTGGTGGTAATCTTTAGTTCTGTTTGTTGTGGTTTTGCTCTTTCAGGATGGCTTGGAAGTGCATTATGCTGGATTTAATACGCCTCACTTTCACAATTTGTCTGATCTTGTGCAACAAAATCTTGCAGCTCAGGTATGTTAGGTTTTTACTTTATTCAAATATTTGATGACATAATCTTACAGGCAATGCAAGAATTTGCTATTGTGAAGTTGTCTTTGTGGGCCTTGTTCCAAACTTCCAATATCTCTACTTACTTGCATATCTTACTAGATGATGAAGCATGCCCGACTGCAGCTATCTGACTCATCAGACAATTCTCCAAACGTCTTAGTTTTTCAGGTAATAGATCGGATAGATACTCCATTTTTCTTATCCTAGCATTTGATTTAAATCATTTACATAAGACAAGAGATCTCTCCAACTGCTCTTGGAAGCTTCGTTTTCCATATGGTTTTGTTGTGTCATGCACTTACCATTTTCTTGTTGCAGATTAGTGGTAGATTTCCTCTAAACACAGATATTGTTCTTGTCTCTGGAACTGGATCAGAAAGACCAAGAGTAGAAGAACGTGTCAGCAATCTTACAGGTTTGGTTAAATTCAGTCCTCTTTTTTTTTTTTTTTTTTGAAATATGACATGTCCTTATTTGTGCTTTTCCATGATAAAGAAGAACTAAATCAGTTTTGACTTCATTGTAATTTGTAAGAGTTAGCTGGTGCATAACAAAACTGCTTTTCCTGGGTAAAGATATCATCAAGTCTTCTACATTTCTGTTGCTAGTTTGTGATTGCTAAAATTCAGGCTTTAGTTGGGAAGGCATGTTTACTTCGCTTTCAAACTTATTGCTCGTGGCTTCTGTTCTGCCTCATGGGCTACTTCCCAGTTTAGTTGGTGTATAGTTCTGCAATGAGCTTGGCTACCAGTTAATGAGTTTGCAGAATGTCTTGCTAAATCAAATGGTGTTTTAAATGTTCATTTGCTCTTCTGTTCAATGGCAGGCACCTCACTTACTAACCGACTGAAGGAGAAGAAACAAGAATTTGATGATAAGTTTGAAAAAAATTTTGGATTGGCTGACAAGGTAAAGTTTATTGTTTTTTTTTTGGTTATATATTTTATTTTACTTGACTTATTCAAAAATGTTTTCTTTCTGACAATGCATCTGGCCTTTAAATGTGTTGATCTCCTATACCATTCAGTTGACTTCAAATGGTGCTCAATGGAAGTAATTCTTTATCTTGATAACGAAATTCTAGGTGGATTCAGATTCCATATCTGTTGGTAAGGCTGCTATTGGAAACTTACTAGGTGGTGTAGGCTACTTCTATGGCCGGTCAAAAATTGCTGTCTCAGAAATACTTGATGTAAGCCACTTCTGTCTAGTTTTAGTCTTTATGTAGAGTATGTCATCCTTTAATTGCATACAATTAAACATGTAATTTCTAAAAATGCAGACGTTATATTTATACCCATGTAATGTATTTTGACTTTCTGCTTCTCAGTATGCTTTCAGTTGTTGCTTTACGCCTCAAGTTGATTATTTATGCTGGCACTTGACTTGAGAAGACAAGAACAAAAAAGTGACGTCAGAAGAAGCATATTAGCACCTCTTACCTAATATTGAACTGTGTTTTGTAATGTTTCTCAAAATAGCTGGTCATTCTATGGTTCTTTGTAGAAGTTTTGTTATATAAGGTGCTCTTAAACAGAGTTTGGATTCTCTGACTTCACAAAAAATGACTATGTCTTGTACATTTGAAAGAGATAAAGAGAAAGGAGAAGCGTGTAATTGTAAAATACGGACCCCATAAACTACCTAATCCTCTTGAGCCACTCTCTATCTGTAAAGTCATTACTGCTTGTCCGTAGAGGACCCATTTCCTATTACACATTGGTCTATAGTTTAATTAATTCCTCTTTAGTTCCTAGATCTGTATCATTTGCAGTTCTTTGCATTCCGCTTATAGTTATAGACTTTCGTTCTACGAGTGTGAGACTGTGGCTTTCCTATTCTTTACTTAATTGTTATGAGGTCCTTTGTTTTCCACACATACACCATCATATGGCTGGTCTTTGTAAAGTTAACAAGCTATCAGCAATATAAGTATTGACATACAGTAAATGTTTTTCTCTTGCAGTCTAAAAATAATGATAATTATTTATATTATTGGCCTGCTGAGCTTTATACAGCAGTTCCTAGCCGACCTTTCTTTCCAAGAGGATTTTTATGGGATGAAGGTTTTCATCAACTTCTAATCTGGTAAGTTTTCAAAGTTAGCTCTCTCCTTTGTATCTTTTTGTTATTCTTGAATTGAAATCTGCCTCCAGAAATAAGCTCTGTATTTTCTTGACCGCATTAGACTTATAGCTGATGTAATTTGTGGATCATATGTGGTCTGGGAATATACTTTATTTGTACTTGCAAAACAATGGCCAGGCGTTGGGATATTCGTATATCCTTGGATATTATTGGACACTGGTTAGATCTTATGAATGCTGATGGATGGATACCGCGCGAACAAATTCTGGGTTCTGAAGCATTGAGGTGTGGCACAGAACATTTTTCTTCAAATAATTGCCGTTCTTTCAGATTGTCCTTGTGACATTTTTTGTTCTGCACTTGCAGTAAGGTCCCAGAGGAGTTTGTTCCCCAGCATCCAACAAATGGAAACCCTCCAACTCTGTTTTTAGCAATAAGTGGTAACTTTTTACATTTATTATTCCTTTTTCCTCATTCCTGAGACATGAGAATCATAACTTCCGGCACTAGAAGGTCATATTTTGTTGACATGAGCAATATCGCAGAAGCCATAGTCTAACATCAGACTGCCAATGAGAAGTTTTCCTTTTCATTGAGAGATGATGAAAAGAAACCTCCTGGTTACATATGCTCTTCCATGTCAAGCTATCCATGTTTGCATGAGAATCACAACCCCCTTTCCATTTTTTATTTAGCATGGGAATCATGCTTGAATAGGAGTTTATCAATCAAAGCTTAAGATTTGGAGATTCTTCTACTTCTTCCTTCTGTTTTCTGGAACAATGAAGTTTTGGAATGAGGTGTGATAAGTGGTACCTTACTAGTACAATGATATGCATAAACATCACTTTCAAGGGTTGTGACAGAGAAAATGGAAAACACAATACTTTTCAGATCAATCACATCTCATTCCTCATTTATTGGCTTATAGGACGCGAATCACCTAGCATAAATAACAACTACTGGCTAATTCTTACTAATCCTACGTAACAAAGGGCTGAAGTATAGATCAGAAAGATTCCTAGTATTTTTCTGGCGGTGTTGGTTACAACTAGACGTTTTGGCGCATTCCCTGGAAAGTGGTTATTAGGATTTCGCACTATTCTTGTTACTTGTGATTTTTGCAGTTATATAATGCGTTTGTATGTTCACGTGGGACATGAAAATTCTACAAAACACAGTAAATAATAGGACTCCCTCTTGTATTGGGTGCATGGCACTATTTTGTATATTCCTTTTTCTTCCTTCTGCGGCCGTGTGGTCCCCTCCACCTTATGCTGAACTAAATGGTAAAATTTTTGCTTTCTTCAGATTTAGTTCATGGCTTGAAGAACAACAAGTTTACTGGGACTGATAAAACTGAGATCTCTCTTTTTCTGGAACATGCATTTGTTCGGCTAGAAGCATGGTTCCAATGGTTCAATACAACTCAGTCAGGTATATACTGTATGTGTGGTCTGCCTTAAGCACTCGAACCATCTTTTCTCGTTGACCAACTTTTGGGTTATATTATCTACTTGACGCAGGGAATCAGATGAGCAGCTACTATTGGCATGGACGAGACAATAGGACAATTCGTGAATTAAATCCCCAGGTACATGCTCATTTTATTCATTTATTATTTATTTTATATATGCTTAAAATTTTGATTCTGGGCTATTACAGTAGATCCCTGTATCAACTTGATCAAAACATCAATAGTTGTGCTTAAAACAAGGGCTATGTAAAAGGGAAGAACAGATTAGATTTGTTGTTGGAATTTGGAAAGTCTGAAGCACATGAGCTGGATGAGTTTTGATTTTAAAACCTGCCTTCTCTCTTGCAATTTACGTTGTTCTTGAAGTGCACTTCATATCTTCATCCAAAATGGGGTCACTTAACCCTGCTGTCTATGTTGGTCTATTTAGACAAGCTCGACTTTTCTTTAATGAATACATTTATTGCTTTATGACACTGGTTCTTGCGTCTTCAGACACTGTCCTCTGGATTGGATGATTATCCACGTGCTTCACACCCAAGTGGAGATGAACGTCATTTGGATCTTAGATTTTGGATGTTACTTGCAGCTGAGTGTATGCATTCTATTGAAGAGTTGTTGGACAAGGAAACCAATCCTGGCAAGGTATCAACGAAGTAACACATGCCTTATTAATTAGTAGATCATAAGTAGGGGAAGTACTAGAAGCAGAGAGGTAGTCACCTTATCTCAATGACACATTGAATGAAATCATGCAGGATTATGCTACTACTGCTAAAGTGCTATCAGATTTTGAGTTACTGAACCAGGTATATTCTTTCGCCGTATCCTTTGTTGGGAACTACCTTCACCTTGATATTCCATCATTAGTTTCAGTTGCTATGGATCGGTTACTGGTTCAGAAATATAACAACAAAATAATGTTAAAATCGTAGGGCCAAAATTTGTGAAGACTGATAAAATGGAGGTACTTGAAACTGCTCAGGACATGTATGGTAATAAAAAAATTTCTAAGAATCAGAGTACATGTTAAAAAGACAGGGTATGGCAATATAACGTTTACTTTCTGGATACAGAAAGTGTGTAATTTCCTAATTTGGAATTTTGGCCTTCCAAGCCTTCCTATAATTTTCTTTTTAAAAGGAAGACAATAGACATGGAGAATAGAAAGATAGAGTGCATTCTTGGCAGAGCCGTAGATGGGTAGGATATTATGATTGCTCTGCAAAGGAATATTTCGACAACACTTCCTACATATGGTAGCTTCATGGAGGACTCTTGCGGTTATCGTGAATGGATGAAACAATTTTTGTGGTTTTGGGAGATTAGAAAAGAGAAAGCAAACCATGTTTGTGGCTTTTACCGTAATATCTGCATCGTGAGATTGAAAAGCCAGTTCTTTTAAACTATAATCCGTGTCTAATTTGTGTTTCCTGTTATTACAGATGCATTTTGATGATGCATACGGTGCTTACTTTGATTTTGGAAATCATACAGAAAAGGTACACTGCTTATTAATTATTATTACAGGCTACTGTAGCAAAGTCTTAGCAATTCATTATTCCTCAATTCAAGTAATGAGACTTTCTTTGCGCCTGGAACTATGTTAGGTTCGGTTGAAATGGAAAGAACTTGAGGTAGGACACAACCATGTAACTCGCCAGCTTGTCCGGGATGTCTTAGAGAGACCAAAGTTGAGATTTGTTCCTCATTTTGGTTATGTTAGTTTGTTCCCATTCATGGGGAGGGTCATACCACCTGTAAGTGATGCACAGGTTGAGATCATGATATTTTGTCACCCATTTATTAGCTTCGAATTAATTTTTGTATGGTACTGTTATATTCAGACATCATGGATTTTGGAAAAACAACTTGACTACATTTCGAACCGAAGTGTCTTATGGACCGACTATGGACTCCGCTCTCTGGCCAAAACAAGGTCTATAATTAATGTGTTTTATGATTTTAATTCCAGAAGCCTTACTGATCAGTGACCAGATATTTGATTTATTCTGGGTCAACTAAATATGATATCTTAAACGCAGCTCCTTGTACATGAAGTACAACACAGAGCACGACGGACCATATTGGAGAGGTCCTATCTGGATAAACATGAATTACAGAATTCTCTCAGCCCTCCACCATTATTCCAAAGGTATATTAGAATTATACTATCGTGCTCTTAGCTCTCTTAAATTAATTTCCGGGTTGAATTTTGCAGAGAATGGACCATATCAGGACAGAGCCAGAACCATCTACGAAGAGCTGAGACGCAATTTAGTAAGGTATAATTTGATTTCGTTTGTTACTGTTCTAATGTACTTTTAAAGACTGGTTAAAATGCATTTGCCCTTTATGCAGAAACATAGTGCGCAACTATAAGCAGACTGGATTTTTGTGGGAACAGTACGATCAGAAAGAGGGTAAGGGAAAAGGGACACGAGCGTTCACTGGGTGGACATCGCTTGTGGTGCTAATCATGGCGGAGGCATATGGCCAAGTGTAGGACTCGAATGAGTGTTATTGTCAGTACAGTTATATCCCCATCAGAAGGACAACTTTTCCTCATCCGAGAATATCTATGTATAACGATCAAATCAGAATAAACACACAAAAAAAACAATTAAGTGTTTACCAAAAACCAGTTTTGGATATGGTCATACGGATAATCATCTGCATTTGAGCAACGCAGGGAACTCCCAATAAATTAGGGACGCTCGCTAATGAATTGGGAAAGTTCAACTAACCCGCTCCACATAAAAATTATTAAACACAAATCGAGTTCAGTTGAAATCATATAATATTTAATGTGTGTATATTAAATTCAATTCATTTTAAATTAAAATGGTGTTACGACAAGCTTAAGTAAATAATTTTTCATTAAAAAAAACATTTCAAGGGTAAAAGGATGAATGACTTCAATAAATAATATTCAAATAAAATGTAGGGTAACGAATATATTATATCTAGTTTTAAAAAAAAAATGTAATTAGAGTGGCCAAGGAATAATTTCCTACTGAATTTTTGAAAGCTTTGAACAAGCTCAAAACTCTCTCCAAGTTCTTTTACCGGGGAAAAATTTGTTCTGCAAATTGCGAGTGATTACAGGAAGCAGTTGGAGAAGATTATAATGACTCGAGTCGTAAAAAAGTCGTAACATGGTGACTAATCAGCAATGTCGCAACACATGCCTGTTGGTTAATAGCAATGGAAGCCTAACCGAATTTTGCATGTCTTCCAACTCCTATTGTATCATTCTTGGGCTCACTATTATCAGCTGTCATGATTCCAATTCAAGAAATACAAGGCAAATCCAACCATCATTAGGAAAGACTAATATGAAAGCCTCAAGGTTTCTTTTGAATGTTACATGGATTTCCCATTATCCGTTGCTCCCGTGTCCCCAGCCATCATAATCTCCAAGTCCCTTATATCTCGCTTCAGTACATTTCCCAGTTTTGCGACTGCCTCCGTCTGCTGTTGCAAGACCTGCCTCACAGAGAAACAAGAACCATTACACACGATTACTATGTTTTTTGAATATCAATTATCAACTTTATTTAGGGTTTGTTTCGTAATAGTTGACTTCGGAGGAAAAGGGAAGGAAATGGTAGGTTCGATTCAGAAGGGTTGGTCCTTGGCATTGGAACATCAGAGGTCAATGCAGTCACTCATCTTGAGCCCTTTTCTTTTGGTTTGTAGGGAAAAAAGGAATGTCCCATCCTTAGCAGCATGACAGGATTTTGCCGGGGGAAAGAAAGTTTGAAAAATTGGCAGCAGCACGGTCATTATACAGTAAAAAAGTATCTAAACCTTATAATGGTTTGTACGTACTTCAAGAACAGGAAAATAACAGTAACTTGTGCTTTACTTTTTTATATTAGTATAAAACATTAAGCCTTCCAAGTTGATCCCATCTCACCTCCTGCAGATCAGTGAGACTCTGTTCATGAATTTTAGTTGACCCTGGAAGATACAGCAAGCCACCATATCCCCCACTATTTGCCTGGACACGGGATACAGTTAGCAGGTTCTGCACCCTTCTAGATAGTTCTGCTCCAGATCCTTTCAACTGCAACAATTGTTTCAGTGTTAGTTCCGCCTCAACCGGGAGGTAGAAGATGCATAGGACTAAAAGTTCTACCTGTCTAGTTATAGTCGCTAATTTCTCTGCGAGTTCAGCTTCCCCTTTTGTTAAGGGTATACGACAGCCTTTTCCTTCCAATGCTTCCACTATTCTCATTACCTTCAATCACAATATATTAGAAGACGCTAGATTAATAGAGTGGCAATGAATAACAAATTCCAATGCCCCAACCTCAGCCTGGTGTTACAATTTATCATTGAACTATCAGAATCCCGACCAGCTATAGAGGATGTCACCAAGGGCATAGAATTAAAGAGGCGGTCACCAGCCAAAAGAAACAAGAGACTTTTATTTTCCTTTTCTAATTTCAACTTCTCGTCAGCTAATTCTTATTTTCATAAATGTACAAGTCACAATGCACATTTTCCTTTTAAAAAATGAGTTCTTTCATTCCAAAATCAACAGCAAGTTTCTTTCTCAAATATAGAATAGTTGCACGTACTCTTAAAAGACGCCGTTGAAGAATTTGTTCTTTCTGCTGCATTCTTTGAATCCAAGGAAGGGTGTCGGCTTGAAAATGTCTTTGGAGCTGCATAAAACATTTGAAAGTTATTAAGACAAATCACTAACGCATGATGAAAACAAATTCAGCACCACTTTAACATTGTACAGGGAAGAGGAGTACCATTTTAACATTACTTTGGGTTATGCGTAATCTCTCTGCATCTGAAACAATGACCTCATCTTGGATCTGCCCAAGGTAAATTCAGCATGAAATAATTGAACACGAGCTCAAAGGAGAGTTTGAAAAATCAAAAAGCATACATTATATACGAAAAAGCAGAGTGCTTCCGCATCAATCATGGAAAAACAGAACTTATTATTCTCATACATACTAAATAAGGGTAAAAATAAAAGGAAACTGTGTGAGATTCTTCAGCTCCCAACTTTTTAAGACGCGCCCTAAAAAAGAAACCAACTACTCCTCTTATGTATCAGAAATAGTGGCCAATTGAGTCACCAGGTCACAGTCGTCGAACAGTTCGTTCAGACCAGGTTCAGGCTTTACAGAGTCAGGGACTAATGGGACTGGGACTGAAAATAGTAAGATAGAAAATGATCTTGAACCGGACCCAGTGGAAGTAGTAGCAAAGTCAGTGGTTTCCCCCGATCCTGAACCGGATTCAGGACCAGCATTCTCGTCTGTTGGATAAGTCTGTAATCCGTAGGATTACCTCAAGGGGAAGTCTTGGCTGATTCAACTCAAGCAAGAACAGCATCTATTCCTTCAACAGCTGTTAGGGGCCTTTTTCCTCCGTTCCAGGTAAACAATCCAACAATTTTTACTTTTATCATGCGGCTATTAAAAACTGTGGCAACTAGTAAAGCCTAAACACGCATGATTTCATCCCTTAGCATGTATCTCTTATATATAAAATCTATTCTCTTCCATCTCGGGCTCTCCCTCTCCCTCGCACACACCCTCCCCTTGCTCTCAATCATAAAGGATCTTCAGACACATATTCTTAGATTGCTCAGCTCTCATAACTGAGAGCCCCTCATGAGCGTAAATTAATCCCCTCTAACATTGAAGCTATCTTAATTGTTAGATTAAACACTCCCCTATGATTTTTCGTCCTTTTCTCCTCACAAAAAATAATTTAAACCACTTAAAACAGGAGATATACTATGCAAAGGTCCGAAGGGGCAGGAAGTTTGGAACAATATTTGTTCAAAATCTCAAAGTCTCCAATGTCTTGCTCTTTATCCTGAGATAGACTACTCTTTTTCCTAGCCAACATGTATATGTTATCAGGTTTCAAGAATAAGAAGTTATAGATTAGCAAGTTGATGAAGTATTGAGTGATGGCTAGACGATACAGATCAATATGACATTCAAAGCACCAAACCCTTGTTGTGAGTGCTTTCAATATCTGCCTTGTGAAAAGTTACAAGCCAATATAGAAAAAAGACAATAACCCACTTCCAATGCAGGTTGTGGGTCAGTAGTAACCATGAATATAAATTCTTACAATCGGAGAAGTTATTTTCCAACGGAGCCTCAGTAACCCTGATTTAAAACATCATTAAGGAAGCCAGCAGTCTTTTCAACCCTAACTTATTAATTATGGTGCATATGCTCAGCAGAGTCATCTAAACAATCTTACGACACAAATAAATCAAATGTTCAGCATCAATTCTAACACTTTTATATTGTACAATACTGAAATATATGATTGCTAAACAACAAAACCCCATCTGAACAACCATTTTATTCAAATAATCAAATATTCAAGTTACTAGTACTTCTCCATTGTTTTTTTCCTTTTCTCTTCTGATAATCGGTATATTGGTTAAAGTTAAACTACCAAGGCCAAGACGCTGCTATTAGAAAAATAAAAAGGACAATTACATGAAGTTTTGAACTAATTAAATTTACCTTGAGTCGTTGTGAAAGATCCTTGAAACCCTGAACAAGTTGAGGCCATAGGCGTTCTCGATCAGCACTTTCCATACCCTCAAGCTTCCCCATTGCCTCTGCCCACATGATCTGGCGATACAAACTATTCCCCAGAATTAGCCAGCGGTGGAACAAACAAAAAAGAGTTTTATACTTCCATAGTTCACAACTACAGTGATGATTTGTATACAAATTGAGGGAAGGAACTTACGTCTGATACACCAGCAGGCTTCACCCTATACTGCGGTTCTGTTACACTGAATAATAAATGCTGCAGAACACAGAAATTTGAGACAAACATTACGCATAAATGCTCAAATTGGACATTTATATATACGGAATAAAATTTCATTATCAACACCCATGAACACTGCCAATAAACAGCAGAATAAAGCTTGCAATAGTAGAAATTATTCTGTAATTGCAAAAAAGAAAAACAGAGAGTGGAATACCTTGAAGGCGTACTTAGAATTTCCAGTATCCTCCTTATAAGCATCAACGATAGCCTAAAAATGACGAAGTAATAATAATAATCCATAAGAGTACAATGTAATATGTAAAGACGGGAACGGAATAGAGCCACGATAGGGTTTATGAAGGCGGGTTAACATACTTGAATATCGCGATCGGCGAGAGAAAAAGGAACGGGAGCTACATTAGCCATCTGAGTAGTCAATTGTGCATTCTGAACAGGAGCGGATTGTGGTGTGGCAAAAGAAGATTGAAATCCAAAACCAGCAGAAGCAGGTTGCTGAAACAGCGGGGTCTGTTGCGGTTGCTGTTGCTGAGAAGAAAACGGCGTCGAGAAAAGTGAAGTGCCGAAGCCAGTGGCAAAAGAAGGCGTAGACGGAGTACCAAACGCTGGCGTAGATGACGGGGTTCCAAAAGCCGGCGTTGATGATGGCGCGCCAAAAGGGGGCGTCGACGTAGCCGCGCCGAATGCCGGCGCTGAAGATGGAGTACCGAACGCTGGTGTGGAAGATGGGGTACCAAATGCTGGGGTAGAAGAAGGAGCGCCGAACGCCGGGGTTGAAGAAGGGGTACCGAATGCCGGGGTTGAAGAAGGGGTGCCGAAGAGCGAAGAAGAACTCTGAGCGCCAAACATTATGAGGACTGATGAGACAAGAGTGAAGAAAAGATAGAGAACAACAGGATTTCTATTCGATCTAAGCACAAGGCGTCATTAAGAGGGCAAAATCTCGCACTACAAATGCTCGAAGGAATGCTCACTGCTCCGTCTGACTCTCTGTTGCCAAATGACGACGTGCTTCGATTTAAAACCAGCGTCAACCAGGAATCGACAAAGACGCCTATACTGCTGCGCTATGAAGGAACGGGATTTGCCTTGCCTTTGCAAATGAAGGGTTTTTTCCCTTTTTTTTTTTTAGCATACTTTACTTTTGTGTAATTTCAGTTAATCTTAGTATTAAATATAAGATTTTTTTAAATTGATACATAATATAATATTATATTTCTTTAAATTAAGTGATTTATTTAATTTTTTTAATTTACTTAAATTATTTAAATAGTTCTTTCGTTAAAGATAGGAGGGGTGCTCTTTTTTTTTTATCAATTTATTATTCTAAATAATATTTATATTATTAATTTTAATATTTTTATTATAAATTAGGTTATTTTTTGAACGCTATAAACATTGAAGAGCTTAAGCACATACTTGTGAGAAAGAATATAAAGATGTATAGAATACGAAACTGATAGTCACATTAATTTTGAATTAGCAAAGTAGCAATTTTTTTAATCTTATAATTGGCAATACTCCTAAAAATGGTAAGCATGACAAGTTGACGGGTCCAATGTAATTTTGTAAAACTACGCATGATTTTCTCTCTCTTTGTAATGGCATGAAGATTTGGATTTTATTATTATTATTATTATTATTATTATTATTATTATTACTACTGCTACTGCTACTACTACAACAATTATTATGATGTTCATAACTTGTAATTCAATTTATTATAGATCTTATATTTGACTTGATGTGGCCAAACAAATTAGTTCAACTGAGAGGAGATGCCCCCAACAAAACAAATTCTGCACAAAGCTTGACACCACAATTTACAATAAACAATTCAGCTCATATCACGCCTTGTGTCCTGCCCAGAAAAATAGATCTAATCTAATTGTATAACTAAATCATGGGAAATTAGAATTAGTAAATTGAGCATCGCACCATCATTTAGAAAATAAAGCTTAATCTGGGAATATCAGGAACAAGGCAAATATCCAACCATAATCTACAAAAAGTACAGCTCAGACAGTCTAATGATAACTGAAAAATTGATACACGAATCAATAGCAGTCAAGAGCATAAGCACTGAAATTAAAACCAAGAAACCTCCTCCACTTCCTTCCTTCCTTCATATCAGTAAAATGAAGAAAGCAGAACTCTACCCTCCAACTCCATCGTCATCAATATGTCTTCAATTTCATGCCCTGATGGTTACACAGCTCAAGCACAAACCAGATGGCCTTATCTTAGAAGTCTGCCATTCTGATCCTGGGGCTGCAGATGGATCATATAACAGAGTTCTATATCCAGGATCAGCCTCTAGTGAGAACAGCAACAGCTTCTCATCCAGTATGCCGAATCGAAAACCAATACTTGAGCTCCCGGTCAATGGCACCGGTACCATCTTCCATGAATTATCCTCTGGATTGAATATTGCTAACTTCCTTTGGTTCTTCCACTCCATACAGAACAGCTTCCTCCCCAGTACAGCATGTGCCGTGACCATCACGCAACCATTCTTCATCTCACACCAGCTGTGCTTCTCAGGGTTATAAACATCAACAAACTTGGAGTTCCCAATTGTGAAGCTTGACCTTCCACCCATCACATAAAGCTTCCCTCCAAATCCACAAGCAAAGCAACCCCATCTTGGGCGACGAAGGCTCTCAATCAGTGTCCACTTTGAAGCATCTGGATCATACACTTCAGCACTGGAGAGACTCTCTCCGTCCGCCCCATAGCCTCCAACAGCATAAACCAAGCCATTGACTTCAGCACAAGCAAAGTCATATCTAGCCACATTCATGTCTGGCAATCTGCCCCAACTGCAATCGTCATTGCAAACTATGTTATTGTACAGTGCAAAAAATTCTTTTCTTCCAAGTAATAGATATATAATCTTCAAATGGTAAAATCAGAATGATGTTTATGAGCAAAATGTTCTCCCATGTAATTGATTATATGTGGCGTTCCAACAAAAAGACATACTGATACAGGGCCCAGCAGGAATTTACAGGAAACATCAAAACATTCAGTTATATGTGTGCAAGTTGCATGAAGCTTAGATCCACAGAATATGGAAAATACAAAACAGTCAAGAGATCCTATCGCTTAGGAACAATGATAACCCAATTGCTGCCAAATTGAAAACTAACAAAGAATCAACTGAATTCTCCATCGAAGAGTTCTCCAAACAGATTTTATTCAAGTTAGTTCTTTACTGCAGCAGCAGAACATACCTGTTGAGGAAAGAATCATACTGATAAACTTCTGCTGAGGCAGAACCAGTCCCATCAACCAACGAATAGCCAGCCATAACAAGAAGCTTTCCATTAAGAACTGCTACTCCAAACCCGGCCTTTCCTGGACCGGGCATCTGTGGAAGAGAACGGTGTTTCTGACCAAGACAGTCAAGAACTTCCCAATGGCTTGCTCCTCCTTCTTTATCCATAGTTAAGATATAAAGCCATTCCTCAAGCACGCCAGCCAACTTTCTCACAGTGATAAATTCTTTGCTCTGAATAAATGATCTCCATTTCTTACAGACACCGCCCATGGCCGGGAAGTTAGCACGAGGCACAAGTGCAAGGCAATGCTTTGCCACATCATCAGGTAGCCCAGGTAGAATGGAACTGTCTTCTTCATCAAGAACCTCAGAAGTCAAACAGTTATTGCTCTTTGAAAGATTTGGTGTATCCTGATTGATTAATTTGGTGAAACACATATTTGACTCTGTAAATCTCTTCTTTCCAGTACCAAAACTAGGCATTATCAATAATAAATATCATATATTAAGAGAATTCAGAGCACTTTCGATTTTGACCAATCAACCAGATATTATGGCAAGATACTTATTGAAATTCCTACAGCTAAATAAATTCGTGATATCCTTCACCAATAGGGATTCTACAAGACCAAGGCATAAAAGATGTCGCAGAACGAATCACTTGAGCAGTATAAGCTGATGATTTTCTGTGTTTTGTCCAATCTGACTCAAATTCCATAACAAAGATTCTGCTCCCACGGTAGTTCTTTCCAATTGTTTTTTGCCAATTTGATCTTAAGCCGCTGAAGTTGTATCTTCCCTCACACATTGCCCAGATATCTATTGATTACAGGCCAAAAAAAAAGAAGTGTTAATACATTTCAAATTAATCAATGTTCGATTCATCAAAATTATGAAGACATCGAGTCATCAATAGTCAATACAAAGTCATACCAAAGTAGGCCATAGAACTTAGCAGGACTCAGCCACCTGTGACTTCCATTTTTCTCAAGTCCGTATGGGCTGAAAGGATCAACTAGAGGGAATCAACTTAAGAATAGATAAAATTTCAGGGAAAATAAGTGAAAATATGCAAAGTGAAAGAGGAATCTTAATGGCAAACAAGTCTAGTCTGCAAGGTTAGAAAAATATATATAATCATTCCCGTAAAAAAATGGCACACAAAAAGTGGAAAGTAAAGTAAAACCTACACTCTGTTTCATTGACTTCGAATGAAAGGTGATTTTTTAAATAAGTGACAAATAAAATCAACAGATGTAGGAAGGAAATTTTCATTTAACAAACACCTAACTCCTGTATTTCTTTTGGAGGAAAAAAAAGTCAAAACTGCAAAAAGAGGTATTTGTCCCTTTTCTTTTTTATGGTTAGATTTTTCTCTCTCTGAAATCAAATGCCCAGATGGATCAAAGCATATCACACCCATTAAAAGGAACAACAAAACATGGAATGAATTTAAAAAAAGGGGGGGGGGGGGCTTTTGCGATTTGAATGGAAAATAAACGATCTCGTTTGCTATATGAAGCCCTAAATCACCATTACATGAATATGAGGCATACACTCCTCTGCGAATGAACACAGAAGCTCAGGTAACTACCAGATCTGGAATTAATAAAATGCTGTAATAATTTGGATGGCTTGGTAAATAAACAAGTCTAGCAAGAGAATCAAATCAAATAATCAAATAATAATTAGGAAACACACGTCACTCCAAAGGCAGAACAGAATAACACATCCACCAGTTTCAAAAGAATAGAACATTACGGCCTTAATATGCATCAAAGAGCCTAATAGACGTGCAATTAAACATGGATCATATAGATTTGAATTGGAAGTACGTTCTTCAAATCCCGTCTGAGAAAACACATCGAAAATGGAACCCTTTAACGTTCTTTACAGAGAGGCAAATCCTAGAAGGCCACCACCCCAACAATTAACACATCTCAAGTGGCTGCGGCCAATAGGATCTAAGAAGCAAAAACAGAAGAACTAACGTAGTAATGAATCAAAACAGAGCAGAGAAAATAACAAAACTAGAGTAAATCTGATTCGGGCAATGATTAGGAAACCCATCACAAGCTATGAAAAAATGCCTGCAGATCTGAAGGATAGTAACAGAACCAGAATGTTAATCAGCAAACCAGGGACAAAAAGAAAGAAATGAAAGACAGGAAAAGAAAACAAACTTACAAGAAAAAGAATCAGCTGAATCAGGAGCTAATTCTTGAGTGCGATAATATAGCGAACGAGCAAGATGGATGGAATATCAGTGTAAGAGGCAAATAGGGGAATTTATAGGAATAGGACCCGAATCAGTAGGGAGAGGATAAAAATGACAGAGCCTAACCACGTCAAAACGTGATAAGCAAAAAATATCATTGCGCGTAAATGGGAATATATTTTAAAAAGTTTGCTTTTTTTAATAAAAAAATCCCCGTGTCAGGTGATGATATTATAAATTAATCATTTTTTTATATTCATCAACATTCTGAATTTAATTTGTGCGTCCGGTCAATCTGGTCGGAGGGACGAACAGGGTAGTTGTGTTTAGCTGTGCTGTTGGTGGGCATCCACCTTCTGTATCTATCTATCGTCTTGCAAATTCAGCTTTTTGCCAGCAATTATGTTGCTTGGCCAAGCCAAATCAACCTTTTTGAAAAAAAATTAGCGAAAATGCCAGTAAATAATACATAAGGTTAAAACTTTTCATGATTAGAGGACCCGTGACACTCGTTGAAAATTTAACTACAACGGAATCTTCATTCACCTCAGGACCTTTTTTAAACAGAAGAAATGGTAAGGCGAGACTAAAAAGGCCGGCAATGTATGACTGGTCTGTGATCTATCACCCGTAAATTGACAACTGCCAATTACCTGAACATTCTCATGCCAAAAATACTCTTTTAGTCCCTTTAATTTTTTTACCCCTAATTTTATAAATTTATTTTCATTCCTCTAACCCTTGATACTAATATTTATCATACCCTTAAGGTTATGTCTAACAAAGGAGTTAGTCCCTTATAACATAACATATCAAAATTCGAATTTCTATTAGAAGAGTATTCATATTTAGTACTCAACAGTATTTCGAATAAAATTGCTTTCAATAACAAATAGTTATGCTTTAGCAAACAAACAAAAAAAAAAGACAATGACCTCACAATTTTAAATATTGGGAAATCATTTTTTCTAATACTGATGGATTAAAACTTAATTTTTTTTTTAAAAATATTATTAGAGCATGACGATATTAGAATTAAAGGACTGAAAAAATACTTTAGATAATTAGGAGATCAAACTATAACATTGTATAAAATTAGAGGATTAATGTACACTTTTACCTTTCATAATTAATAGTAGTAATGGTCAATTTCCAAAAAACAGCAACGCATGAAATCCTTATCCTCATTACACCTCAGCCCAATGTGTGAGGATATGACTCATTGGTTTTTTTTTTTCTTTCCTTTTTTATGGACGATTGTTTTACGTTTCATATACATTGCCCCCTCCAACCCTATCTATAAATATACATTGTTAAATTTGACCTCTAAGTAACGTACTCTGTCTTGTATTTCTTATAAGATATTTTTAACTAACTCGTCGAAATCAAGAATAAGAAGTTAAATTATTAACTTGGTCTAAAAAAAAAAAATTTCACGTTAGAGTAACTCAAGTTATAAATATAAAAATTTAACTTATAAAACACTACATTCTCGGAACATATTAGTATAAAATTAAGTGAAATCTGGGAGACCTGTTTCTATATAATGTTCTTGTCTTAAGTCCTATGTAATATTTGTTCAAACTTTTTGTGTTTTTTTAATACAAGAAACTTTTATAAAATCTATGAAGTAATTATTAATATTTTCAAAAAAATGCGCTCTTCATAATTATAGTTTTATACCTACCTTTTTCTTTATTTATCTTCGTACCTTACAAAACAAAAAACAACGAGTTCTCTCATATATTTACCTTATATAGCTTAAAAAATACTCCCTCCGTTCCTTATTATAAGAGACAAATAACTAAATTACGTTGATCAAAAAATAGTTAAGATTAGTGAGGACAATTAATGTGTAAAAAGTATAATTTTTTCCAATAATGCCCCCATTAATAAGGAGAGAGAGTATGAAAGAGAACAATTAAATTATTAAAAGAAAGAGAAGTGGGGGAGGGAGAGTATGAGTTAGAGACAAAATAAATAGGGGTAAAATAGGAGTCAACACAAAAAAGTAGAGACAACTTTAAGTGTCTCTTATATATGGGAACATGCCAATAAACATCAAAGTCTTATAATAGGAACGGAGGGAGTATTTGTTAAGCTGATACCAACGGACACTTAAAAAATACTAATGACTCTGGGGTATTAAAAGTTCATTTGGGGTGATTTGAAATGTTATGATAATTTTGGACAAAATCAACAGCGCTTACAAATTTTAACCGCATATTTCTTAACCTATAATTGGATTAAAATGATCTTATAACTAAAAGCCTAAAACCAGAAGGAATATTTAAGAACAACGAGTGCCTTAGGTGACCTCAACTGTGATTGAAACTCATCGAGTGGATTTAAACTGACATAATTGACTTTGATTAAACAAAACCAAAAATTCCATATTTCGGTGGCAGGCTCTACTCAATCCCACACCACAAAGAATCAAATAAGAGGTCATGACATTTTTCCTACATTATAATATAATATAATAAATAATTATTTAATTTATCTTCCCATATATGCTGTATATGAGTGCCAGAAGTAAGGAATCTTTTTGAGATTTTGGCTGTAATGCAAAAATAAGACCCGCCATTTAATGAGAACCAGTGACTGAAGATTCCCCAAAAGAGTCTTCTTCCCATTTTGCTGCAGATTTTGAAAAAACCTGAGCCATGGCTGGATTCTTTAGTAGTTTCAGAACAATACAACCATAAACCTCCGTGTCTATCTCTTGGTCGTCCCAAGTTTAATTTCCGTCACTCGTGTCATTGGCATTTGTGGGTGAATCAGCCAACTTCTGACAAATTTGGGAACTAAATTATTTTGGTCTCTGATTAATTCGTTGAAATATCTGGCATAATAAAACAGATTAATTTCATTGAAATTATATGAATTTTTCTTTTAAAAAAAGTTATATAACATTTTCAAATAAAAAAATATATATTATACATATCTCCCACAAAATTTACAGTATTGTCGGTTTTCCAGTTTCTAGAAGTTGTATAAATCTCCTTCAAAAGCAAGTCTTTAATTTTTAAAATCACGAAAATAGTCACTGGATCTTTAAAAGACATTATGCTTACATTTCTAAAAAATTGTATAGTCATAATAAAATCTTAAAAAGATATATTTTAAATGAAAGTTTGTAAGTGTTTTTTCGAAAGAAAGAGCGCAATTTTTAATATAAATCTGGAGAGGTTTACATTATTTTTAAAAATAAATTAAACACTTATATGATTCAAGAAAAAATAAAAACATAAATAATTCTCTTTGGGGTGGGTTGTTGAGGTGATGAGGGACGTGGGGGTGGGTGTTGGGTGAATGGGTTGGGGTTCCAAGTCCAAGTCGCAGGGGGCGACGTGGACAGCGCATTCACAAAATGGGCAACATATAGCAGTCCTCGTCCAGTTCCAGCATGGGGCCCACGCGCCTTGAGGGGCGTGACTTAATGGACGGCTGATGTTGGGGATGCACTGCTGCGGCTTAACAAGGAAGGATGGCAATTACGTCCAAGAACCTTAATTATAATAAGATCCCTAATACATTTTGTTAATACCAGAAACGGATTGATGCACGTTATAAACCGTCTTTTTAATCAAATTAATTTATTGTCTAACATTTTGAAGTCCGCTACAGCAGCTTATGTATATCATTACCTCCAGTCCTAATTATAAGAGATAATTAACTAATTTGAGAAGATTAAGAAAAGAAGTTAAGTTAATTATTTGTCATAAATAGATATTGTGTTTCCTAAAATATCATTACTAATCAAGTACTACCTCCGCTCCTAATTATAAGAATCAGTTGACTAATTTGAGGAGATTAAGGAAGTAAATTGAATTAGTTATTTGTCCTAAATAGATGGTATCTTTCCTAAAATATTCTTGCTAATCAAGTGTATTCACTAGAACTCTTATTTAGAAGGGTACTTGGAAAAAATATATAAATATAAGAGACAAAGTAGATTGGGATCTTATATTTATGACCAAAATAAAAGTTTAAACAGGGTCTTATATAAGGACCGAGGTGGGGAGTATATTGACTAGAACTATCATTGTTAGAAAGATTATCCTAAAAAAAATACATAAATACTCCTCGGTCCTAATTATAAGATCCATTGACTTATTTGAGGGATTAAGGAATGAGTTAGTAGAGAGTTGGAGTGAGTTAAGTTTGGTTATTTATAATAAATAAATGCTGTCATTCCTAAAATATCCTTGCTAATTAAGTATATTAGCTAAACTATCATTTTAGAAGGATTATCTTGGAAAAAAATGCATAAATAATAAGAGAACAAATGGATTGGGGTCTTATAATTAGGACCAAATAAAAAGTCAAATGGGGTCTTATAATAAGGACCGGAGGAGAGTATTAGAGACAAAGTGAATTAGGGTTTTATATTTATGATCAAACTAAAAGTCAAACGGGGTTCTATATTAAGGACCAGAAGTAGTACTTCAAGTTTTCAGGTAACTCTCTTTCTCTTCGCTAGTTTTTTTATATCGTTGAGTTTGATTTTATCTTTATTATCGTGCAAGAAATATTAATTTATTCTAATTTTTAGATTTGAAAATTGTTGAGTTTTGTTTTAATTTTTGAGGTGGGACGGGATGGGTAATTAAAGTCCATAAATAGTGTGTGTGATAGGATAGCTCAAGGCATGGGAGCAAAAAGGCCAGTGGTTTGTAGAAAGCAGACGGATGACGGGTAGCGCTTCATCCATGGGATAAGATTAGGACAACACGCAACTCTTGCACTTGACCGGCAAACAACCAGAAATTACCGCATCGTTTCTTTTAAGACAAAATGACATTAAAAGGAAGCATAGTTTACAAGTTACATGCTCAAAGTAAACTAGAATTAACAATAAATATTCTCACGATTTGTTGGCCAAAAAAATATAACTTAAAAAATTCATGTCACTATTAGACAGGTGGTTTGGATAGCTCAGACTCGTTTCGCCCAAATAAGGTTTTTGACATGTTTGTGTGGCCAACAATGAGAAGAGTCCGCTTCAGGGAAACATAAACTAACAACCTAATTT